GTACTTTTTACCATTTTTATATTCTCACCACCAGAAGCGGCGACTTAGCCGAGACGAAAAGAAGACAAGATATGCCAATTAGATCTAGATGTGCATTACATTTTCATTTTATGTTCGTTGCTTCTTTGCCCAATTACCATCTCGTAACGAGGAAACAAAAACAGAAAAGAAGCGTAAATTTTAGATCTAATAATGGGAGGCTTTCTTCAGATGGTGGCTGAGGAATACTTGAACTTTTGCACTTTGACCAGTGTTTCGTCGTTTGGGGGCTAATCTCTGGAATGTTAATAATGTAGCCCTGATTGAATGTCAAGATTTCGATTTTGGTCCTCAGGGTTACGTGAAAGAAATAATCCACTATCGTTATTGGTGTCTTATAATAGTACACGTATACTAAGATTAATCTTGGTTACCCTTAAAACATGGGGCTGGTCTTGATTAAAGGGCTTGGGGTTGAGGTGAGGAACTGGAGTTAAAGTGAAAGGTTAAGTTTAGGTCTTCTTCTTCTTCTTAGCTTTTCCCGTACTTGGGCGTTGCTCCTCGGACCTTCCTGCAATAATACACAATGAGTCTTGCCATTCTGCTCGCCTGAGTTGATTTGGTTACGTTGTTTTGGTTCCAAGCCAGGTTTCTATGCCGCGTTCTCATCTTCTGTCGACCCCCCCCCCTCCCATCTTACCTTCTACTTTTGCTTCCAGAACTATGTTTCTCAAGTTCAGTTTCAGTTTCGGCGTGTTCTGAAGAGTGTTGGTGTTTCTATGCTTTTTCTTTTGATCACTTTTTCATTTCTTATTTTCGGTCTCCATTATATTCTAAGAGATCATCTACAACATTTCATTTCGAAAGCTGTAGTGCAACTTTTCCTAATCAAATATCAATCTAGATGATTCATATAAAGAATAACAGAATAAAATGTATTCAACATGGTCAAATCAAAATTCAACATAGAAAGTTAAAACATTAAAATTGAGGGAACAATTAATGTAACATTAGAAAGCTAAACTATCAAAAGAGCGCTATGAAATGTAACAAAAGAGAGTTCAAATTCAGTACTGTCAGTTCAAATTTAACACCTATATATTTTAAATAGGCCCACAATACGATGCTCTACATGGGCTTGAGCACATCCGCTTTACCCCCTCTACCCTCACCCCCCACCCCCGCCCCC